TCTCTAGGAGACTTGGCAATGCAGCCATGCAAAATAATGAGGTGGAAAGAACGGGATTTACCATCATCCCGTCCATGCCATATTAACAACTCACTTCTAGTTCAAACATTCTAAGAAACAAAGGACATTTCTCCAGAAGATATCTTCACTGCATTCATCGGCCATCCCTAGACCATTAACAAATGTCTGGACCTCTCTCTATCATTTGCAAACGAGTTCTCTGTATGACTGTATCTCTCTTTTGTAGAACACCAATGAATGCAATCTGACAGTTTATTACGATGAAACAGAACTGTACATATAGAGTTGGTGCAGGCCACAAGCCAGGCTGCTACCAAAACCACCCACTAACCTGAAAACTAGGCTACTCTAACTGCACGAGCACTTGATCAGCTAAAGGAACTCAACTGCACAAGTTTGCTTAACCCTGGACTAAAATGACAATAAACCAAACACAAGGACTGACACAGCAAATCTACAAACGACGTAGTTTGCTTATTACACAGACTCATTAAACCTAAATGACATCACTTTGACTAACCCGGACTTATTCAAATCTTCAAACATCCCACTTGGCGCCCTTCCAATCCTGATGCAATTAGGATTCCATGTTAGCTGCAGACTTCAATCTAACATATCCTCCCCTGAACTGGAGCTCATTCGATTCAAGCTTCAGTTCACAGCATCCTCCCCAGCTCTTCACAGTCCGGCCACTTCATTCAGATCACAAACTCCCAGCTTGCTTCTCAGCTTCAGAAATGTGTCAACCTTCAATGCTTTGTCATGATGTCAGCCACTTGATCCTGAGTTCCACAGTACCTCAGTTCCACCACCTGTTCCTTTGCAAGATTCCTGAGAAAGTGAAATCTCACATCTATATGCTTGCTTCGACCATGGAAGACAGGGTTCTTTGACAGCTTAATTGTTGAGCTGTTATCACACAGAATTACTGTAGTTCCATTCACACACCTCTCCCATCCAAGATCACTTATGATTCTTCTCAGCCAAACACACTGTGCTGCACAATAAGCAGCAGCTACAAACTCTGCTTCAGTGGTTGACAGTGTCACCACTGGTTGTTTCTTAGATGCCCAAGAAACTGCTCCTCCATCCATGAAAAATGTGTATCCACTTGTGCTTTTCCTGCTGTCAATGTCACCAGCATAGTCACTGTCTGTATAGCCATATAGACAGTCCTCCCCATTGTTCCTGTGATACATGATACCATGTTTCAGAGTTCCTTTCAGGTATCTTAAGATTCTTTTCCCTGCTAGCATGTGTTGTTGAGTTGGACTTTCCATGAACCTGCTTAACAGACAAATTGAAAACATCAATCTTTTGTACTCGGTTGAGTCTGCTGAGCATCCATCACCAGCTCTGGTTAATTTGACTCCAGGAGCAATAGGAACATGAACAGGATTACATTCCAGCAATTTGAATTTTTCCAGCACTTCCCTTGCATACTTCTGCTGGCAGATGAAAATCCCAGCATCACTTTGGATCACCTCTACTCCCAGAAAGTACCTCATCTTCCCCAAGTCAGTCATTTCAAACTCCCTTTCCATTGAATGCTTGAACTCTTCAATCATCTCATCACTTGTACTGAGATACATGACATCATCTACATACAGACTGACTATCAGCACCCTTTTCCCAGTCTTTTTGATGAATAGAGTTGCTTCATTCTGACATTTCTCAAACCCTGTACTGATAAAGTAGGTTTCTATCCTACTGTACCATGCCCTAGGGGCTTGTTCAAGGCCATACAGGGCCTTCTTCAGTTTATACACTTTAGATTCCTCCCCAGCAACCACAAATCCTTGTGGTTGCTCTACATATACATCTTCAGTTAGTTCACCATGAAGAAAGGCACTTTTAACATCTAACTGCCATACTGTTAGTCCATGATAGGCAGCTAGTGCAAGCAATGTTCTTATAGTGTCCCATTGAGCCACTGGAGCAAAAACCTCAGTGTAGTCAATGCCAGCTCTTTGAGCATAACCTTTTGCAACTAACCTTGCCTTTTTCTTATCTACCATCCCATCTTCTTTCAGCTTGGTTTTGTATAGCCACTTCAAACCAATGGGAATGATACCTGGTGGAAGAACAGTAAGTTCCCATGTCTTGTTTCTCTCAATTGCATTCATCTCTAACTTCATAGCTGCATCCCAAACTGGATCACCAGCAGCTTCTTCATATGTCTGTGGATCTTCTGCAGTAGCCACCATGACTAACCAATCTGATACATCAGACTCAGTATGACTGCAGTCATATATACTCAGATGCCCTGGGGGCTTCCTGATTCTTGCACCTAGATTTGATCCACCAGGAGGTGAGTCATCTGAGTCTTCTTCTCCTGAATTGGTGGATGAATCCCCTGGACTTGCTTGACCAGCTGGACTAGCTGGACTTGATTCATCAGTTTCAGCTTCTGTTGAGATATGATCTGGTGTATTTGAAACCACTGGTCCTTCTTCTCCATCAGAATCAGACCACTCTTCTTCACTGCCTTCCCACAGAATCCTGATCAAGACTGGTTGGATATCTGATTTCCATTCCCATCCTTTGCTTTCATCAAAAATAACATCCCTGCTTACCACTATTTTCTTTGTTGCAGGGTTGTAAAGCCTGTAAGCTTTGGATTCTGCAGAAATGCCAAGAAAATGACACTGTGTGCTCTTGTCATCCAGTTTTTTCCTTTACTGATCTGGGACATGCACATATGCCACACAACCAAAGACCCTGAAGTGTGCTACAGATGGTGCATTCCCAGTCCACAGCTCCTGAGGAGTTCTTCCTTGATTTGCTACAGTGGGACTCCTATTCAGCACATGTGTAGTCCAGTTTACAGCCTCTGGCCAAAAACCAGCAGGTACTCTGGTGTCTTTTAACATGCAACGAACCATATTCATAGTGGTTCTATTCTTTCTCTCAGCCACTCCATTTTGTTGAGGAGTGAGAGCTGCAGTCAGCTGCCTTTGCATTCCAACTTCATCACACAGAGAATTAAATTCACTCAACAGGAATTCACCTCCCCTATCAGTTCTTAGGCACACAATTGGAGAACCAGTTTCTTTTTCTACCTGAGCCCTGAACTTTTTAAACCACTCAAGTGTTTCAGACTTGGCTGCTAGGAAATATACCCATAATTTCCTGCTGTAATCATCTATTAGAGTGAAAATATACCTTTTTCCCCCATTGGAAGTTGGGGTAATGGGGCCACACAGGTCTGCATGCACTAACTGAAGTCTTTGAGTAGCCCTCCAGTTACTTTTCTTAGGAAAAGGTTGTCTTGACTGCTTACCAAGCTGACATGTAGAGCAGATGCCAATTTCCCCTTTCAGTTCAGGTATACCTTGCACCACTTTCTTCTTGTGAGCCAGCATTATTCCTTGAGGATTTAAGTGTCCAAACCTCCTATGCCATAGGCTCAGTGTGGCACCTTTAGCATCTTTGGTCTGAAGACACTGAGTTACTGATTCACTTGCTGGTTCTGCAGCTGTTGTTTGCAGAATGAACATCCTGTTTGCCTGCATTTTTGTTTCCATCAGGAATCCTTTATCTTCATGGAATATCCTGCAAACATTCCTCTTAACCAGAAATTCTAATCCCTTCTCTTGCATTTGTCCCATGCTTAGGAGATTAGTTTTCAAACCTGGAACAAAAAATACATCTGATATGACCAAGGACATCTTCCCAAGGTTCAGTCTCACTGTTCCCTTTCCAGCCACATCCAACCTACTGTCATCTCCTAGTCTGATCTTTCCAGTAGACTGAATATCCATGTGCTCAAACCATTTCTTCTCCCCTGTCATGTGATTGCTGCAACCTGAGTCCAGAAACCACCAGGTTGACATGTTCCTCATCTGACCTTCTTCAAGGAAGGCCATAAGCAATACATCATCAGACATCTCATTCTGAGAACTAGAGTGGTGTGCCTGCTGATTCTCAGTCTGAGTGCTAGAGTAATGAGCTTGCTGCTGATTGTAGTGACCTTGACTGTACCACTCAGGACACTCACTGCGATAGTGTCCCAATCTATGGCACTTAAAACACTCAATGCTCTCTTTACTCCAGCTTCGACCACTCCTTCCTCTTCCTCTGCCTTGATAGCCACCTCTACTGCCTGAGCCTCTTCCTCCCCTTCCAGCAAACTCATGTGAGACTCTTAAGGCCTGATCTTCTTCAGCAACAAGTTTCTTGTGAAATTTTTGCTCATGGACCAGCAGTGAGCTCTGGAGAGCATCAACAGATAGGGTTTCTATATCCTTAGATTCTTCTATAGAGCAAACAATGTAGTTGAATCTTTCTGTTAATGTTCTTAGAATTTTCTCTACAATCTTGACATCAGGCATATCCTCACCACAATTTCTCATATCATTTGCTACAATCATCACCCTACTGAAGTAGGCAGTAACTGTCTCACCTTCCTTCATCTCAAGTACCTCAAAGGTTCTTTTGAGAGCCTGCAACTGAGCTTTCTGGACACGAGCACTTCCCTGGTATTTTACTTTCATGGCATCCCATAACTGTTTAGCAGTTGCTTTGGTGGTGATTGTTTTAAGAATAGTCTTGTCGATGGAGTTGAATAGATAGTTCTTTGCCTTCAGGTCTTTGAGTCTCAGGTCATCCAATGCTTTGGATTCAGCAGCTGTCACTACAGTTCCTGCTGCTGGTTCCTGGATTCCCTCGCTAACCACTCCCCAGTACTCCTTGGATCGAAGAAGGTTCTCCATCAACAGGCTCCAATGATCGTAATCACCATCAAATTTAGGCAGGCCCACCTGAGAGAACCCTGCATTGTCACTCATGATTATGCAGTACTCAACTGCTTCTCTCAGATTAACAAGCCTCACTCACCCTGCCAATTTCCTCACTGATAATCCCTCGTGTTTCCCAAGCCCAGATCCTGCAGTTTCAACACTCAATTTCACTCACTTGTTTTCTCTTTTGGTTACAGCTTGCAGTAGGCTCTGATACCAAATGTAGAACACCACTGAATGCAATCTGACAGTTTATTACGATGAAACAGAACTGTACATATAGAGTTGGTGCAGGCCACAAGCCAGGCTGCTACCAAAACCACCCACTAACCTGAAAACTAGGCTACTCTAACTGCACGAGCACTTGATCAGCTAAAGGAACTCAACTGCACAAGTTTGCTCAACCCTGGACTAAACTGACAATAAACCAAACACAAGGACTGACACAGCAAATCTACAGACGACGTAGTTTGCTTATTACACAGACTCATTAAACCTAAACGACATCACTTTGACTAACCCGGACTTATTCAAATCTTCAAACATCCCACTTGGCACCCTTCCAATCCTGATGCAATTAGGATTCCATGTTAGCTGCAGACTTCAATCTAACATCTTTCCCACCCAAAAAGAAATGAGAAGGCGTTTCTCTCCTCCTTCATCAAGCGACAGTTCCACTCGTTGTCATATTCTCTTCATCATCGTCTGTAGATTTTTCAGCTGCAATATATGTCCTGACAAATCTATGATATAATTCACGGGAAAGGGGTCCCTCTTCCTTCAACAATTGCGCTAGTTCCTCCATGCCGTCGACATCTCCCTGTTTCTCCAAGTACTCGAAACAGGAATCCAAGATTGCAGGGCTTGGTCTCCAGGATCTTCGACCAACCGACAATGCCCTTTTCAGCATTTCAACAGCCTTCCCCATCAAACCATGATTCACGTATCCAATGGCCAATATATGCCACGAACTTGCGTAACACACTCTTCGTTCTGCTGCCTCCTCCAAAACAGACTCACCCTTCTCCATGAGCCCTCTTTTGCAGTAAGCTACCAGTAGCTTATTCAGTACGCGGAAATCGTATACACTGCAGTTAGACTCAAACTCTTCATGGATGCTTTCTGCTCCCTCGAGATCATTAAGCTTTGAAAGACAAGTAATCATGCAGGAGTAGAGAATAGCAAATGGTTCATGTGTTGGCTTATATGCATTCCAAACTCGATGCACCTCACCTTTATCACCAGCCTTAGTGTATAGAGTAAGCAGAAACTCCACAGCAGTGGCTCTCCGGTGCTTGGGCATCTTTTCCTCTGCTTTCTTCAGCATTGCCAAGGCCTTGTCGGTCAACCCGACATTTAAATACCCGCTAGCTGCTGTTGTATACACATCCCAAGAGACAGCACCAGAGTCGAGTGGATTCTCCTCTATCTGATTAATGATTCCTTCCATCCGGGGTATGTTCGATGCAGCAGAATAAGCAGAAATCAGGTTTTTTCTTGTGTACTTATCATAGGGAATCCCCTCTTTCTGCATCTGTTCGAGTAAAGGGTCGAGTTTATGAAAATCTCCGACTTGATGGTAAAGGTTGATGAGCAGGTTGAAAGGAAAAGAACAGCAGCCCATACATTTTTCTTTCATTTCCTGCACAACTGCTTCCGCTTTCTCGACACATTTCTCTTGTACGTAGATATAGAGAAGTGCACAGTACACATTTCTCCACTTCATTTTCTTTGATAGGTTGTTGAAGTAATTTTCTGCTTCAGCTAGTCCATGAACTCTGTAGACTAATTCCAGCCTAGTTGCAGCATCTTTGAATGAGAATTGCACAATGCAACGAGCAGACATCCAGTTCGATATCTGAATATAACATCCCCAAAACAAAAGCCAAAATCCACAAGAAACCACACACATCAACTCTGTAGAGCACAAATTATCTCCATAAAGTTGCACTTTACAGCACTAAGAAAGAAAAGGGTAGAATCAAGCATCCAAACAAAAATGGGTAACCCTCACTGATTCGATCTTTAGGTTTGAAGATTAAAACTTCAGCACCAAGATGCCCAAATGGTATATGTAATAAAATCAATTTGCCTTTTGGGGACGAAACAGCCAAAGACCTCGATCCTAAACAGAGAAGGAGGGCTTCTAATTGAAAGGATGAAGAAAATGAAAGAGAGAGGAAGAGGGGTTGGACCTGCAAGGCATGGTGGAAGCGCTTGTAACTCTTCAAACGCGCAACCAGAAATCGGAGCTGTTCTCCAACAGGATTTCCTTCTCTTACCCATTGATCGAGCACCGGAATTATGGAGGTTTTCGGATCTCTCACGCTCTCAATTCTTTTATATAGTGAAGGAGCAGGATGTGGTGGTGAGGGCTCTGGTTCAGTGGAGAAGAATCCAATAGAGGGGCCTGACCTCCATACCCTACTGGCCAACGAGTCGGGTGGAGCCGAAGAAAGAGCGGGAGGAGAAGTTCTACTTCTACAGTAAGAGGCAACCCCAGTTATGGCTTTGGAAGTGGCACGACCAGATTGCTGGAGCTGCTGGCAGCTCAGTCGGAGCGCATTCATGGAGGTCGCCCGTACAGGAGGGAAAAAACTGGAGTATTTGGGGAGCGACGACGAACGGTTGGGTTTAGGGGTCTTACACAATTTCTCTCCTCCCTTTCCTTTCTTCAAACGAGTCGAGTTTCGAAACATCAAGATGCTTGTGAGAGCATCTTGGCTCATTTGGAACCCAAAGCTGATGAGGCTTTTACTTTTGGGCCTGGGAAAGTTTGTGGTTCTGACGATTAAATTTACCACACCTACTGGACCTTCATACGTCGTCACTTAATTAGGTGAACTGGCCCAAAGGCCGAACCTTATATCCTGGGAGAAACCATGGCCAGCCCATGGAAACCGAAATATCGGTTCAGCTTCGTTTGAAGTTTCCGGACTCCGGTGGAGATGTTGATTTGTTGAAGGTCCAGGGTAGTGATGGCAATGGGGCGGGGTGGGGCGGGTACCTCAATTCCCATGTCCCGCCCCACGCTACTACGGGTTGGGGCGGGTAAAATCCGCGTGGGTACGGGGCGGGTCGACCCACTCTTATATGTTGTTCAAAAAAAATACAAGTAAATTTTACTTTTTACAATAAAACGTAGGGAAAAACACTTTAAGAATGAAAAATATTGATAATATAATGGATAATTGAGCCTAACAAGTTGAAAGATTGACTCTAACTAATTGAAGAAAAGTCAAAATAGGAGAAATATGTATAGATATTGTAAGAAATTGAGATAAAATAAGTCTATAACGGGGCGGGGCAGGGCGGGTCGGAAGTAGATACCCAATCCCCGCCCCACGCTACTGCGGGTCGGGTAATACCCGCCCCATCGCGGGTCAGGTCGGATAATACGCGCGGGGCGGGTTGAAATTGCCATCACTAGTCCAATGTTTGATTTAGGAATCCGACATAATATTATTTTTTATGTTTTATTTATGTGGTCTTCTTGCTGTAGTGTAAAAATGACTCACTTTAGTTTGGTGTGAGTTGCCTCCGCCACTGCCTCCAAAATTGACCTTGAAGACAGTAATGGATTAGTCGCCCTGCCCTCTGACAATGTTATATACAGAGATGAATCTTGAGTGCGATAAAGAAACCCACACTGTTTTCTCTATCTCGCCATGCGAATGTGTTCAACAACATATCCCAGATCTGCTGACATTATGTTGACGAAGATAACAAACCTACACAAAAATGTGTAAAATTGTTTTGACAAAAAGTGTTCATTTTGGAAATTTTTTTCCAAAATACAATACTAAATTGTTACAATATCATATTTACACTAAAATATTTCAAAATATTAGAGTGTGGCTTGGTCGCAATTTTCGGCGATTTTGATAGTGGTTCGCTGGACACTAGAGCAATCTAATTGTAGCCAACCAAAGTGAACCGGCCCCTAACCAACCAAGCTTGCTAGAGACCGGAGCGAACCTGCTGGGCCGCGACAGACTCCATAGGTCATCCCCAAAATCGTTTGACACTCCAGTGATCTACACCTAATACACGTTGAAACTTCAAACGATAGTAATTTTGTGCAGAGTTGTTCAATCGTAGATATTTTTTTTACAAAGCATAATTTTTCGAGATCGTCAAAGCTGCAAACGACGAATCTGCCTTCATCGCAAAAAAAAAAAAAAAAAACGCAGTTCACCGCCCCAACGGCCCATTTATGATTTCGCCTAACTTCGAACTATCATAACTTTTTCCTCCACGGTCCGATCATCACAATTTTTTTATTGATTTTGCATGACTTTTCCAAAAATGTCATTTTCACCGAGCCCAACAAAGCTATCCCTAACCTTAAAAGGTCAATGGTTCAACTCTTACCCTATTAGCTAAGCTAGTGTTGCTTCCAATGGTATTAATATATATAGACGTGAAGTAGTGTTTATGTTCCTACCAATGTTGCTAATTGATATCCAAATTTAATTAAATCACCCCTTAGTCACTATAATATACATTTTACATTTTGATACCCCAAATTTAATTTTAATATAAAATCATGAACAATTATGTTTTGTTAATTTTTATTAGATTTTCGTAACTACTACATATTTGTCCACTGTTTAGAATTCATTCGAATCCATGAATCAAATCCACCAATCCAGTCCATCGTAACATAAAAGTATAAATTGAGTTTGTACAATACAATTTGTTGTATCACTCAACTCTAGGAGAAGATTCGACCATTTTTTATTTGCTCTTTACGTGAAACATTAAATAAATAATCAAAGAGAGTCGACTCTAAAATATTGCAAGAGCGAATTTATAAACTCATTTAGTACATTTTATAGGGTACTAAACAAACTTCTACTAACTACACATAACAAAATATGCGATATCTACATAAGCAAGTGTCAATAAATTGCTACGGTAAAAAAGGTTGATTGTTGTATTGACGACCAACTAAAGAATTGGTCAAAACCTGTCCATCATCTACTTCCTTTTCGTTTCATTTTTCACTCGCCTTCCATAACCCTTTCTTTATATCTTTCTTTGCCTTCTTCGTCTAACCCTAATTAGTATACTATTTTTTATGTATTCTAATCACAAATATGAACGGGTCCATACACGACTCACCAAAAGTCTAGAGAACTAATAATTGAACCACAAACCACTCACTTTTTCAGCTCAATGTCGAGTCCAACTAAAAAAAATATACATGGTTATTACTTATTAGAAAGTCATCATTTTCCGCTATGGGATTTGAAGGCACGAAATTTTAAGTGAGTTTCAGTTTGTATCCCTTTTGCTTCTTCTTAGAGTTTTTCTTTTTCACTCAGGCTAGAATTTTCAACAATTATACATGGAATGTTTGGCTAGATAGGTATTTACACATGTCAAATAAATAGTTTCCATTTTTCTATCAAAAGGTAAATAATTATCATCTTAAATACATCACCACAAAAGGAATTAAGCCTCAACTATGCAAATTATAATTTTGTACCTAAACTTAATACGTCTTTAGATTTATGCCCTTCATTATTTTTTTTGGCATATAAGTCCTCAAATACTGATGGAAATTACATTTGAGTACCTAAATTTTTTGTGTATTACATTTAGGTACCTAAATTTTACAGTTCTACAAATATGTCTTATTTTTGTATGTGTAATTAAAACACCATCGAGTAAATGGGTATTCATACCCAACTCATACACATTTAGATTATGGAAGTAAATATCCATACCCTACTCAAACTCATCTACAAACTTTCTTACCCATATATACGTCACTCGTACCCAACCAATAATCAATGGGTCCACTTGGGTTGACCGCCATATATCTCTTCTCAATCAATATCATATTGTAAAGTCAATATTACTAACAAACCTGCTAACAAAAAATATATTTTAGACTAATAAAATAACAAAACACCATAACGGGCCACATAATACATGTAGGGCTGCAAATGAGTCGAGCTGCTCGCGAGCGGCTCGGTGTTCGACTCGAGAAAAGCTCGTTCGAAACTCGACTCGTTAATAAACCATCCGAACATGAGCTAAGCTGTGTTCATCTCGTGAAGCTCGCGAGCTAGTTCGACTCGATGGCTTGTTGAGCTAAACTCGCGAGTTGGCTCGTCTAGAGCTCATGATATGTCTCAACATGTAGCTAGAGAGCCAACTCGATTACCGACTTATGGACGAGTCAATCTATATCTTATGATTTTAATTCATATGGTTGTTAAATTATATATCTCGCCATATATAAAGTTTAACACGTTGAGTATGTGAGCAAATATATCTTATTTTTTATTTTAAAAAGAAATTATGTATCATAGATTGCTTCGATATTATGAAATAATATGATTTGGAGTAGTTAAAATTTATTAACTAAATGATATATGATACCAACATAGTATAATATGAGATTAGCTAACAAAATAAATCATATGTATCATTATATACAAAATGAATTACCAAATAAAAGTCAAGATTTTAGTAAATAAGCTAGTTTGAGCTCGAACTCGGCTCTTTTATTAACGAGCCGAGCTCAAACTGGAGTAAAACTCGACTCGGCTCATTTGCAGCCCTAAATGCATGCCTGTAGACCATCTCCGCTCGCGACAAGGCACAGCATCGCCACCTAGTATGTGTTATTTAGTAGTATGTGTTATCTAGTAAGAAGATAGCATCAAGCTAATTATTGAGAATCCTCCTAAACCACACACCCCAAGCAAATTGTACATTATACAATTACCATCAATGTGAAACCCTATCTCTCTTCGCCGCCTCATGAGGAGTTACGTTGTTGAATTCCAAAACATTCCTGCTCCCTGAAAGTCTTTGAGGAAGCAAGGTCTCTTCTCTTGGTCACAAGCTATACCACCTAGTTCACCGGCAAACCCACCAACGCTGTCAAGTCAAAAGAAAACATCACTTCCCCCATCGTATTCGTTTCCCCATTTCTCCAGCCAATCCTTTGTTCTCTTCTGCTTTTGTACCAATCTCAATGCTGGTGATTGGAAATTCTACCCAAAAGAAAGGGTTGTGAATGAATGAAAGGACGTGGGTGGGCAAAGAAATGAGCATTATGCTGACTTGACATCCCAACCTCTCCCATCTATTTTCTCTTTATCTTTTCTATCATTTTAGGAATATGTAAATACTAAAAACAAGTTGAAGTGACATTTTTTTTAAAGACAACTTTCAAAATTTCAGCAAAACCATCAATTTGAAGGTTCTTGTGTCATTTTATGGTAAATGTCAATATAAGTGTATACCTATTTTGGCATTTAAAATTGACATATTCAATTGTGACAATAATATAAATGTTTTTTTTCTGACATTTGAAGAAACGTTAATAGGAAAATATTGGAAAATAGAAGTTATTTGTGATATTAGTTGGTCACATAACAAAATATAGGGGTTGTTTGGAGAATATGAGTTTAAATCTATAAAAGGTCAACAATATAAAAATTCTAACTCTTCGGATTCTTGAAAATAGATTTTAAAATGTTTACTGTTTGGTAAGTGTACATGTTAACAGTCAATGAAAATAAAAATTTTAATTTTCTATTAAGTAACATGTTTATCCTTAATAAAAAATTAGAGTGGTTCGAGAAATATTAAAAACTTTGTTGATAAATATATTTAATATGATAAATAAAATTCTACGAATATTGTTTTTGTTAATTTACCACGAATATAGTGTTTTGAAAACTATTTACAAGAATATTGTGTTTTGATGGAGTGAAGGCAACAACGGCGCCCGAGATTCAGAAAATTGAGTGTTGAAGGGAAAAGATAGCGACGGCGGCGCCCGAGTCTGAGACTCGGGCGCCGTCGCTATCTTTTCCTTTTATTCTCTTATCCCCTATCCCCTTCCTCCATGCCCTCTCGCACAGACCACCCACACCCCACCCCCCCCCCCCCCCCCCCGACCCTCCTCCTTCACCTCCTCCAACCCAGCGCCGACGCTAGAAGAAAGAGCGGCAACGCCGAGAAAAAGGGGGCACCGCCTCAGTCTCAGGCGGCGGCGCTAGGAACTCGACGAAGGCGCCCCAACTAGAGCGGCGGCGCAGCCATGTCCGACGACGAGCAGCAGCAGGCGGGCGGCGGAAGAGGCCGAGGGCGGCGAGGGCGTCGTGGCGGCGGCGGCAACGAACGCTACAGGAGTAAGTTCGTCGGGTTCTTCTCGCCGACGGCGGCCGGATTCTCGCCGGCAGCAACCATTTTTTTTATTTTCTAATTTTTTTTTCCAGTTCCTAGGCTTATCGA